CTACAGGCTTGAATTGACGAGGGGTTGCGGTAGAGATTCTGGAGAAAATAGTTACGGGAGTGCCATCTCACTGGGTATGACAGTGCCATTCCATCGTCGCACTGACATGCTTGGGTTTATGGACAGCCCCGTAACGGTCGTCAATGGTGCCGCGATCGGAGAAGGGATACGCAGTTCCGTGGCAGCTGGTTCTGGGTTAGACAGAGATTGACACAGAGTCATACAGGCTCACGGATGATTTCCGTTTCGTTGGAAGAACGTGTGAATGTAGACCGGACACCAGCCAGTTTGAATAGATGCCAATTCTACGGGGAGTTTGGGCAACTGCAGTCGAGGCTTGAATCTTGGGAAGAGGGGCAACGGGAAAGAAATAGAATGAAAGCACTGGCGAGTGGCGAGTGTCAGGAGGCATAAGATACAACGGTGTCAACGGAAGAAAATCTAAAAGGGATGACAGCAAGCTAAATGGGCTTAAGAAAGGTGATCTAGAAATCAAGTACTAGTTGGGCCAGAGTAGGTGCCTATGTTTAGGAAGCTGAGAACTTTGTCATCCAAGTAGCTAGCAGGGAGGCTAGCTGTTTGACTAGTTGAAAACGGGCGGTATTTTTGGCTCGCCAAAGTATCATGACATAAAGTCCTTGTTGTACAGAAGGGGGGATAATGTGAACAGTGACAGTAGACAAGTAAAAAGCGGACAAGCAACAGCTTCCCAGTTAACTGATAAGACCAGTTGCTTGACTGAGGTCTACTACGTCAACCTAAGAGAAATGTAAGATTAGGGATCACCAGTCACCGTGCCACTGCTGTCAACCCCAGAAAACGAATGATGCATGACAAAAAACAGCGATTAAGTGCTAGCTGGGACTGATCGTAATCAGTAAATGATAGGTTGTTAGGATTTTTTGCATATGATTGCTCCAGATGACAGGAGGGAAGAATATGTGCGCTATGTTTGGATGATGGATTGGACTTGGGGTGGTGTGACCCAACTAAGACGAAAGTTGCAACACCTTGTACGTCGACGTTAGCCGTGAGCTTCACACAGTAAGCCCAGGCTACCCCATGCATTAATGCTTTTTATTTATCATTATTTTTTATAGAACAAACGGAAATACGGCAGCTGGTATTTGCTTGTATTGCTTGGTGTTGTGAGACAAGTGACAACCGG